TGGGCTGGGACTGTGCTTGAGGCAGGTAGTGCCAGCACTGGGAGGGGTATATGGGGGGGGGGGCCTGCAGCCACCCTAAAAATCACCATAGCCCCTGCTCCCAGTACCGCCACCGCCCACCCCAGTGCACCCCTGGCCCAGCCCCCCACCACTGGGAAGAGCTTGGTGCAGCCCTGGCCTTCATGGCAGGCCGCCCCCACCCTGCGTGCAGATCCAGGGGCACACCCCTCCCACGGCCTCCTGGGGTGCATGTAGCAGCGGGACATGCCTCCACCTCCCCCTGCACCCCTTAGATGAGCTGCACGCAGTTCTGTCCCACACCCTACCTCAGCTGGGCAGCCCCTACCTCAGCCCCACTTCCTCCCTCACTGTGGGGGCCTCGATCTGCGCTCCCCCATACCCTTTCCCTCACAACAGGCTTACCAGCTGGACCCAGCTTCTCTCCGCACCGCTGGGCTGCGCTCCTGGCTGTCTGCATGATGTCTAGCAGCTGCGCGCATGCACGGGGCATTTATCAGCCACATCAGCCAAAAAAGCCAATTGCCAATACTAACAATTTTCCTTGTTTCGGTGCCAATCTGATATGGGACCAATGTACTAGTGCACCTCTATAAATTAGTAAATACTGCTTAATTAAACATGTTTGTTAAATTATGCACCAAACTAATTCTTCACTAAGATCTTCCTTTTCTTCTTCAATTATAAGCACTGAAAAGGCACATCTTACTCTAGATTTTTAAAGGAGGGTTGCAATGTTCGCCACTGAAAAATCCTACTCTATTTCCTGAAAAGTTTTTTGGAAAGCAGACAAACGACTCATGGAACAACCTGTGAAATACACTCCAAATGATTCTCTACATAAAGCACATTCATTCCTCAAAAAGTGGCATATATATATTGTCCAAAATGGAAAGTCTGACATTCTGTTAGTAACAGTTTAAAATGAGAATAACCCAAGCTACTTACAGGTGTTACATGCATGTCAGGAGAAAAAGGTGTCTCTCCTAGCAAAGAGGAGGATACAGCTGTTTAAGGGCTTTCTTGCAAGAGAAAAATGGCTCTTCCAAGAAAGTTCTACCTCTTCACACCAGGTAGCTCTCTCTCCTCCTGCATGACGCTGAATGTCTGCATGCTTATCTTGGGTGTTTCGAACCAGGACACCCAGTAACCCATAGTCCTCTGCTTTCCCTCCCTCCAAAGGAGAGGGAAGAAGGGAGAGCACTGACTCCCTGACAGCCTACCCAGTAGCAAGTTATCAGGCAGCCCCCTGCCCCCTGTCCTGCCAATCAGTTATGGAAGAAGAGCACCCACCTGGTGCATTCCTCCAGTTCAATCTGGAAGAACTGCACTCCCCACCCCCATGCAGAACTAAGGTTACACGGACTAGTTTCCAGTTCTGACACTTCTCTCACCCTGACACTCACAGTTCCACCCTTCAGAGCTCCCCAGTTCCCTGCCCAGCCAGTTCCAGCTCTCCAATAATCAGACTCTCTCCTAACACCTTGTCCCAGCTCCCACATGTGCTGATTTCCATCCCAAGTTTCCCCCTCAGGGCCCCACATCCAAATCTCAACATTTCCCACTCACATGCACTTTTTGCCAGCCTTTGTGCACAATTAGTCCCATCACACCTTACACCCTACTTTTTTTTTATAAAAAAATAAAAATAAAAATCTCTCCCTTCCTCCAACCTCATTCCCCACTGCCCCGGTTCCAAATCAGTCTTCTTCATGGCCCCCAATCCCAGTCTCCTTACCTAAATTCCCATTTCAATTTTCTTCTCCCTTGTATCCCACTAACTTCCATTCCCACTCCCTTCTCCCTCAGGCTCTCTGCCCAAATAGCCTTTCCTTTCTAGTTCCCCCAGCCCGGATGAAGCCCTTATTCCCTCTAAATTTGAATCAAATAACTTTCTTCTAAATGATGTGTGCGCCTGGAAGGAGCAGCACTCACAAGAAATAACTCCTCACTCTCACTGATGCCCAGATCCAGCCAGTAACAGCAGTAAAAGTGTTATAAATGCAGAGAAAGTCCTACTCAAGCACATGCTTGAGCATGCCAAAGGAATCCTTAGAGAACTGGGTTGTAAAGCTTCAGCAAATCTCTGCTAAGCATGTGTAAACTGTAATTTTTTTCAGGCTTATAACTTGGCCAATTTGCAAGGATTTTCATTAGGATGAAAAAAGACCTACCCTGACAAAAAGGCTGCCCCCAAATTCCTGCCACATTTTAAGTCCTTACTTCAGAGCACTGGGAATACTCAGCATTTCAAAGAATAGACTGCTATTACTAAGGGGAAAAAAACATTTTCCTTGGTTCTATATCTGAAGCAGGTAAACCATTTGGACTGAAATTAAATATATATGTATATATTCAGCCTGAGGACAGACACCCATCACAAAAGATTTCAGCCCAAACAATTAGTCTGGCAAGGTTTAACAATAAAGTATGATAGAGAAGAAGCATCATATAATATGAAGTATTGGGTAACTGCATAACAGCAGCATAATGAATATCAACACAGACTACTATATAGCCTATATTAAATTCAATAACATCTCTCTTCTACTACCTTTTGTATGTTGTTCATCATAGATTGTGAGATGTGTGTGGCAAGAACCCTCTCTTTTTGTGTGTTTGTACACAGCCTAGCAAAATGGGACCACACTTATAACTGCAGTAATTACTCAATAAGTATTAAGATAAAACAATCTGTTAATATCATTACCCCAGCTACTATTCATAGTCCAAAGGTAGCAACAATGTCAGCTGAGTCGAGACACACACCCCTTTCCCCACACCTTACCTTGCATTTTTGATAGATTAAAATAAATTGCTGCTTTTCTGTGTCACCAAAACTTAAACAAACCCACTTCATGCTGCAGTTCATAGTTGGAGGAACACTAACATGGGTTGACTGATTAAAGTTTATCAGTCTTTTAACTTCAACAATATGGACCATGAGAAATATTAACATACTTACCTAGACCAGATACATTTATGGCTTTGACTGATTTCTTCATTTTATAAAGAACGGTTCGATCAACATCCAGAGCCTAAAATGAAAAATAAGACTAAATATAAAATGTGAATTACAAAATAGACCCCAAACAATTTATGTGGAACAAAATTTGCAATACTCTTCACAGTTCAATCTTGGCCAATTCTATTTTTTAAATTATTCAATACAGGGATTTCCATTAAAAATAAATACATCTATCCATACCACCTGTTATGCCCTTCCTATAACACAGACTTGTCTTCCTTTCCTCTTTTTTTGGTAACCAACATCACAGTTATGCCAGTTCCCATTTTTTATTAGTAGTTTAATTTTCTAAAGAACAGAAAACATTCACAAAATGAATCTTCTTCCTATGTCAAATTATCTGAAGATGGGATTTAATTTTGGTTTTCCCAAGGTAATTTAGTTTATTAATTTGAACTTCTTACCACACAAACTTTCTGACTGTTGTGCCAAACAAAAAAGATTTCTCAAAAACACAATGACTTGGTCTTTTACTTTTAGTTAAAAGGTTTTCACCATGACAACATAAATTACAATTAAAATCAAAATCATATTCAGGATTTTCCAAAGCCATAATAAATCCCTTTGAAACAAAAATGGAAAGGCAGCAAACCTAACTGCTTGCAAAGTTAAGTTGAAATATGGGCATAACAGAAACCTATAATTGTTCTAGGATAGGGAAGCAGCAGAAGCTGTGCTCATCCAAACGAAGCAAAACGTATTGAGAGTACAGACTTGATTTCTGATTTCCAGAATTACTGAGTACCAGCCAATCTCACCAGAGAATGCTAATTCGAATTGCTAGTTTTATTTGTTTACTTACATACCCCTAAGCCAAGATCTGGCCAGAAAAACATATACTATAAAAATACAGTGGCACATTCTTTAACTAGATAGGCCTTAATGACATTGTACTAGAGGTAGACCTAACCCATTTTCAAATCAGCTTTGAAAAAGTCATGCAATATGTAAATGGTCAGTCTTGATCACTTCTAATTTTTTAAAAACACAGAATGCCGAAAGAGAATTAATGATTATCCTCAACAGAGAATTCTTAAACGTTCAACTCATGTTAATTTATCAACTCATTCAGACCTTGCTCACAGTTGGAAGGAGTCTTTGGAGGTCAGTAAACTTATGTTTTGCCCTAACATTTGTCAGTGAATTCCAGAGCCAAAATGCTATTACCCACTGAGGAAGCAGTCTTCACTTCCCTTAAGAGTTCAAATTGGAGGAATAACAGCAAGAGTTCAAGGGGTTCTGAACCACTGGGATACTGCAAAAGGAAAAAGAAAACCTCTAAAAAACCTGCACTGCTTTGCAGAAGATTTTATATAGAGTTCAACATGTGCAACTGCACCCAAGAACAAACTAGTTGCTAATGAGGTCCCTATAACCAAACACTGGCTCTGTAGATTTGAATGGCACAGAGCAGGCTACTGCTTTAGGTGACCTTCCACAATGGGTGTCTGTCCTTACATAGACAAGGACAGACATTACACACAAACTGGTTTAAGTGATCAGAAACTGGGTTAAACCTGTAACAGAACATAGGTTCAGTGCACATAAACCAGTTTCAAAATGGATGAAACTGGTTTAAGATAAACATGGTTGAATGTAGTATCAGACTTCACTGATTTAGGTCAAACCGGTTTATGCAATGTCTATCCCAGACCCCTTCCTGGTGTAATTTAAGCCAGAGCCCAAGATCTTTGCAGTCCTGGGCTGGGCTGTCTGGCCCTGCCCCTCTGTTCCCTAGCTGGAGCTCCAATGGAGACTGCAGGCACAACAGGGTCTGCCTGACTTCCCCCAACTCCAACCCCCTGCAACTTGCTGCTCAAGCAGGGACCTCCCCCTCCCATAGCACAGACCCTAGCCGGCAAGGCAGTTTCTGCTTAGGACTTTTTGGACCTAAATCAACTTGTCAGCTAGTAATGTCCCTCCATTCCTTCCTTGGAAAAGGGTGTTTAAAAAGAGCTTGAACTAATGAGACAGGCTTTCGTTTTCTTGATGGCCTGCTTAAACAGTGTTATCAGCTCTCTGCTGGCTCCCTCGCTTGTCAGGTTTGCTGCAGTCAGTATGAAGAAACAGGGAGAGGGAGATTGAAAAACTCAGTATAATCAACAGATGCATGCACTGCACACCCCCTCTGTACCTCGGAGTGCTAGCCAGGGGTTGGCAACACTCCTGCCCCTTCCGCAGAAAGCAGGGAAAAACCTGGGACTGTGCAGGCCAGGGTGGGGGTTTAAACCCCTCCCTAATCAGAGCATCCTGATGGGGCCTGGTCATGGCCCCCTCAGCTCAGTGCTGTGAAAGGGATGGGAGGGCTGTTCTAGCACCCCCCAGCTTCTAGCCTGAGCCACTGAAGGCATGTACCTGCATTTCCTCAGTCCAGAGAGAATGTCTTTACAGTTACAAACTGGTTCAACCTAGGTAGGTTAGACTAACCTACAAAGATTAAATCAATTCAGGGTCAGGCTTTTTGAATGCCTGTCCCTAGCCACAGAGCCCCCAATGGTTGGATACATGAAACTATAGCAAGCCCCATATCAGAATGGACCGATTTCAGTGCTCTAGGCAGATATAAACAGAAAGGAATATTTCTAGCTATTAGTTGAGATTATCAGCCTGGGGAAGGATGGTCCAGTACTTAAGGTGATTACAGGGATTTATGAAATTTGAATTTAATTCATTGATGGGTCTCAGAGGTCTGTATGACTCTGGAGAAGATATTAAACTACTCAGTACCTGTGTTTTCCATCTGTGAAATGGGGTGTATTTGACCAGACTTTTGCAAGGATGCACTAGAGCAGTGGTTTTCAATTGCTTAGGTCCAAGAGGTCTGCAAAAGCTTGTAGAATGCTACAGGGCCTTTTACTCATCACTTACTCCATAAACCTTCCACCAAACACAACATTCAGAAGCCAATTAACAAGATATTCATTATCATAAATATTTTCTGAGAACAAGTCAGGCAACTGCTTGTGTAACACACACACACAAACTACTTCAAGTTAAATCAGAGTCCCCCAGCATCCCAGCATACTCTGCAGCCCTGGACTGGACTGTGCTCTCTGCTCCAGAGAGCAGGGCTGGCTCTACCCCTCTGCTCTCTAGCCAGAGCAGGGGTGAGGGCATGGCCAGACAGGGGTGGGGCTAGATGCCAGCCCAGCATGGCCCCCTGAAGCAAAGGGGCAGGGATGGGACTTATTCTCCTGTCCCTCCCCTCTCCCCTGGCACATCCCAGCCAGGGTCTGCTAACCCTGGCCAACGCCTCCTCGGCTCATCCCCACATAGGCTGAGTGCCCACTGACAGGGACTGCTGTGCCCTGGCCAGGCAAGCCCCAGGTGGGGTCCCCGGGTGGGGGGGAGGGGGGAGGAAGGAAGGTGGAGAAGGGGGAATAAACCCCCTCCCTACCCCCTTTGTCTCAGACAGCCATGCCGGGCTGGCTTCTGGCTATAACTGACAGGGATTCTGACAGGGGCAGCAGCCCCATGGTGTCCTTGGGGGAACTGAAAGCCTATTCCCAATGGGGGGGGGGACTGAAAGGGGGCTGGACTGCAAGCAGGTACAGGGCAGGCAGAGCTGCTACATCCTGCACAGGACAGGTGGCGGGGCTTGGAGGAGTTGCTACAGGAGCCAAGGTGAATTTTGGAGTGGTCATAGCCCTCCAAGCCCCCACCACTGCTTAACTCCCCCATAACCACCCCTCCGAGCCCTGCCACTGCCTCTCACCTCCGCTCAGCCCACAGCCCCAGATCCAACCCCAGGCAGATGATGGGGCCAGGTCGCAGGGGCAGGGCCCTTCCCAGCTGGCTATGGCTCAGTTTGTGGGAACTGCACCCAGTTGGTTCCCAGCTCCCCATCCCCAGGCTAGGCTAGGCCATGCTGTCAGGGAGCCACTACGGCAGGCGCTGCTCTCCCCCTCCTCCTCCTCCACTGTGGAGTACTAACCTGCAAAGACTGAATCAATTCAGGCTTGAGCTTTTTGAAAGTCTGTACTTAGCCCATATGTACAAGTATGTACTGCAAAGTGTTCTAGTTCATGATGCTGTAAATATTTTTTACTTTGAATATGAGCAGGTTTAATATGTTTTTGCTCTGCTTATCTTGTCTGTTTCTTAATCTGGCAAGAAGCAAGGCTTTTTGCACATAGGCAAGAAAGCCCCCTTTGTGGAGCCTTTTGTCTAGGGATACACCCTGCTGTTAACTCAGTGTTCTCTTGTTAACAGTAAAGTCACTAAGCAGCGGGGATTAGACCCCTAGTCTAATTGACTAAGCCAGGCAATGTTCTTTTTTAAATTAATTGACTAAGAAGAAAAACTGGAGGCCTGCCAACCCTTAATTGGATACTTGAGGTGATGTCATGCCAGGTATATAGGAATCTCTAAACTAGGCTTGCCCCCTCCCTTTCTCCTGGGGCTGCTGAGAGCTGCAAACCTGAATCAGGAGCCAGAGAAACTGCTCCCCATGGGAGGGAGGAGGAGGAGGCAGGTCTTCCCCCAACCCCTTCACAGGAGAAGCAAGCTGAAACTAATGTGAAAGGAAAACCTCAGATACAGGGCAAGTGTCTCAGGGTTTGAAACACTTATTCCCTCCTCCTTTCACCTTTTGTTTTCCTGGATTTTGAATGGGATAATACCAAGGGGGGGTATTAATCCCTAGAACATGCTGACCAGGGTTGGAGCCTGGCAGTTTGCTGGCAGATTTGGGCCAGGTTTAAAAGCCTGGCACGTTTTGGGCCCGGGCTGAGGGCCTGGCGTGTTTGTTGCCGTGGCAACTTCTTTTGTCTCAGCCTAGCTGTGTTGTCGAACCCCAGCTGTATGTTTTGCTGGAAGTTTTGGCCAGGATTAAAGGCCTGGCAAATTTAGGTCAGGTTTAAGGCCCTGAACAGGATAACACCTTAGAGGTATTAATCCCTGGAGTACGCTGACCAGGGTTAGAGCCTGGCAGTTTTGGGCCAGGATTAAAAACCTAGCACATTTTGGGCCAGGGTGAGGAACCTAGTGTTGCATCTAAAATAAGA